TCCTACAACAAAATTTTATTATTCAGAAAGAAAAAGTTTCCAGTATTTCATTTTTAGACATGCTTATGACCAGAAAAGTGGATGGCACAATAATACGAAGTGTATATATGTAACCTACATCAACGGGTCAATATACACATTTTCTCAGCTTCGTGCCCTTGAAATTCAAACGCAACGTGATAAAGTGTTTGTTTCATAGAGCAAGAGCAATTTGCTCGGACGAATGTCTTGATGAAGAACTTAATAATATTAAACAGTTGCTAAGTGAAATTCGTTATCCTGAAAAGTTTATCGATAAGAATATGAATCTAAAACCAAAGCAGCCCAAGTTACCGACAGCTCTTAAAAAGGCCTTATTCTTACAAATGCAGTTCCTTGGGGACAACACCAGTAATATACTAACACAACGCCTTAGAAATGCGGTAAAAAGAGCATTCCCTGCTGCCGAATTACTCTGTATCTTTAAAACCACTCCTCTTTTGCATTCGTGAGTAAAAGACAAATTGCCTTATTTTCCCTCTTCCATATGTATCAACCAATTTACCTGCTCATGTGGAGCCAGTTACATAGGCCGTACAATTAGGCGTGTTTCTCGTCGAATTTCCGAACATCACCCTGGCTGGTTAAGCAAAGGACAAACAAAATCTATTCGCAGCGCTATTCTGTCTCATCTTGTGGATACAGAACACAAGATTGACGTTAACCACGCTTTAAGGGTCATTTACCACATACCTACGAACTTCAATTTTGCCTTAAGAGTTCGACTACTAAACATTGCTGAGGCTGTGGGGATCCATATTAATAAGCGTAATTTATGCATCCAAAAGAAGTTAGTTCAGTCATTATCATTACCTTGACCATCTAGGCTTGAATGATCGTGAATTTTTGTGGAAATTCCCTAATTTTATTTGATATTCTATTCGCTACCATATTATTATTATAATTATAATTTAAGCATCTTTAATGAACTGTAATTCCATTGATCATACTTTACAAATCGATATTATTTAAAAAACACTAATATTGTTATTAACTACTAATTAAGAATATTCTATGTACATAAACATATGTATGTATAATTGTAGAGCCAGAAGAGGAATTTATCGAAAAGAATATTCTTTGCTCGATTATTTTGTGTTTTATAGATGTCTGAATGAATATTTTCGCTATATACCTTCATTTCCCTCACCAGCATGTTTGAATAATGAAAGCAACCATGATCAATGTATCGTCCTAAATGGAAATATGTGAAACATTCACATAAATATAGGAATTGTTCTTTAGTTGTGTTTACGAAACCGGCACTACGACCACACAACTGACGTCTACATCTACCGATTATATCAATGTCCCTGGCTAGCTATGGTGAAAGAAAAATGAGGATGCACACTAAGTTTCTGTGGTGTAACGAGCACATTCGGAATTTCAATCTATTCACAAATTAGTATTCGGAATATTAATTCGATTAACGTTTGTATCCTGACACATGAGCGATATTTTGGTGACACTAATATAATATCTGTCATGAAGATTTTCCAATGCGTTTAGCGAGAATTTCATTGAATGAATGGTGATATTTGAAACTGCCTGGATTGTCTTCATTTCCAGAGATACGATTGTGTAAAACTAGGTATTGTGAAATGATCTGGTGTATAATCCGCCGAGTTCATTCATCCCCAGTTAAAGTAATCACAGCATCCCACCTATTCAGAGCACCGTAACCGGATCCTATCATACGCCGATCGGACGAATCTGCTCTGCATGTATTCTGTCGTCAAGCAGTATTAGTCCACTGACTATTTCCTTATGACACTTAGCAATAAACTCATACTTGACATTCACACTAATTCTTCATGTTTGTTGGAGGTCGTTTAGATCATCGCCTCTGACTCTTATCTCCGAATGCATTTCGCTTGGGTAGATGAGAAAAACTGGCACAAGTGTACGAACAAGAGTGTGTATGCAGCAACGATTTCGAAAGTCTCCAAAACGGAAAAATCATTCCATGCTACACCATAATATATATTCCATTCATGGAGATTACAGTAAACGTTGATGAGGCATATGTGTTCCTAGCCTCTTAGCTGTCATGATAAATTCTCTCTTCGTTGAGTACTATTAGTCATTTCCAAGAATACCTCGTTACTGGGAAGATAATTCCACGTCACCTATAAATCGTTAAATCGTCCGCATCATAGCTCTTCTAATGTCTACAATTATAATCAGAGATAACCCATAGTCGATTCTCAGTTGAATTTGCGTCTATATGGTTGGCGATATCATGTGAGATGTATGAAATCACTGATCTCAGATCGTTTTATGAATTAAATTTCACAGGTTCATTGTGGAATCAAGTGAAGTGACCATCACGAGTCTGGTTTTAATTAATTGGAGAGAATCCAATTGTCCATGGATTCCGGCTTTGATCAATTCGCAATTTTGGCGAAAATTAACTTTGAAAATTAATTTGATGCTTGCTAGTGACTGGCTGTCTACAGGAGTAAGTTTCCTGGAGTTCTAGTGAGACGTTGTGGTCACCGGCGTCGACCAGGTCGGATGTGGGGACAATTTCTCGCCAGTGACACTGACCAGCGTTGGTATTCAAATTCGCAAATTGACAAAAGTAAGAGTTAATAGGTTGTTGTGTCGAGCACGGCAATCTGATGGTCGACCAGCTCGCTAACAGAAGTCAAGGAGTAATGGTCAGTTGAAAAATATTGGAGTGATCAGTCTTCTTAGTGTAGATAAGATAAATCTCTTATCTAGAATTCACACAAGTGATATTAATACATTGATTTGTATGCATCTGACTATCACTCATCTCATTTTGTGAATGTTTTTGACAGAAATGTCTGATCCGAACTGATACAATTTCTCTTTTCATTGAGTACACATTTTAATTGCAACCCTGAGTGCATTTCGTGTTTTGTCTTGCGCAATTACGCTTATATGTGTCTTTATCTTGTTTGTGTCTACCTACGTTGAATGCAGAAAATTTGTGTCAGGTGCAATAATCGTTTTTTTTTGTATGTACAAAATCTTGTGAAATCTGTGCAAATTACATTTAATTGAACAATCAGTGGTATAGGACTAAGTGTGTGTATCATCAATAACCTGTAGAGACAGAGAACTGCATTCTAGTTAGAACAATCGGTCAAGATCAAATTACAACCAATTCTCTGAGAGAGAAGAGTGTGCGTAGAGACTTCTTCCAATCGGTCTAGCCATCCAATCATCTTTCCATACGAATCCATGACCTCAAGTCATCCAGTCGAATTGAAATCAAACAAGCATACAAATTATACACAACACATGATGAAACCACTTTTCCTTAGCGTTACCTGAGAGTGTGGTGAGAATCAAATAACAACAACAACAAATGATACTGGTTGGTGATTATCGTCCACTGAAAACTAACAATTCAGTGATATAACCAATCACACTGGATAAATAATTTGTAGATATTATACAATAGAAACAAAGTGATAACGAGATAGTTGGATGTGTTGCACTAATTGAATTTCAATACCATTGTTTATTTTTCTTCTCTAAGGTCGCATAATGCAAAACTGAATTGTGTTCATGCATTAGGACGATGGTCTTGAGATGATATTTATTGAATTTCCATCTGCTCTAACTATACAGACGTTGGAATTAATCATTTCAATTTCGCTGAGATTTTACAAGTATAATCTTTTTTTTTTACAAATGTCTCTATAAACACTGTTATTAGATGAACAGCGACTGAATGTTCAAACTCTAGGTAAGCATATTTTATTGGTGCTATTTTACACTAACACTCATGGATTACAATTTATTATGTTGATTTGTTGAAATGAGGTATCATTCAGACGATCGATGTTGTGAGATTATAACATTCCGTGATTTCTCTACAAACGTGTTTCAACTTGAATTGTTGGCAGTAGCAAAATGTAATGTTTAACATTATGAATTTCCAGACCGTGGATGATGCTATGAATTTCGTGGGTTAGTTCGAGTGGAGAGTCACACTAGATCATTGTAAAATTAAGTCAAGGTGATGGTGATGTGTTCAGGAAATGAAAACAAGGATTTGCTGAATGTTCCCCTGTGTAAGCCATGGCTTCTTCAGTAGAGTTACTGGGATTTTATTAGACGTCAAAATATCTGGTCAGATTGTGTAAAAGTCCCTTTCTCAGTAGATACTTGTAGCGACGGAATAATGTAAGCATTCATGATAACCAACGCTCAATTTCTAGTCATTTATGTCACGTCATCCAACTTATTTGCCCAATTTTAGTTCTAATTTAAATGGCAATATTCTCTACCCCAACTCTACTCAGTTTGTACCTGTAATTACCTCTGTTGCTACCTTGACCTAAGTTGAAATATTTTAGTCAGTTATATTAAGCCGTCTAACTTACTAACTCGATCTTACTTTAGTTGCTGTCTAATTAACCTTGTTTCTATATTAGAACATTCTTGTATTACGTGATTAATTATCTAAACGTGACAAACCTCATGTACACACACAAATAATTCTATATAAATGCGATTGTACTGCTATGTGATTGAATTCGCCGAATAGAGTCCCTTCGCTGAACGTCATCTCTTTTTCATATGTCCATCTGCGTTTATATTGCTAATATTATTTGTCTTGAAACTTCTTATTCTTCTCATTCTAGTATTATTATCTCTTGATATTTTAACAACAGGCACCAGAAAACATAAAGCATTATATATACTACTGTTACTCGTGGAATTCCCATTCTCACTACTGCAACTTATCCAGCCATCTGATTGCTCAAATGAAGCGAAGAGAGGTTGTATTGACTTTCGTGATCACAGTCACGATTTTGTGGTGCCTCAATTATATAATCAGACGAAATCCCCTGGAATCTGAACAGATTGACTCAGCTGTCCCAATAATGAATATCGAATCATTTCTTTCAAAACTACTACCACTTCCTGTCTACTCGAATCACAGTATCAAAACCAAATGGTCATATGTTTCATCGGAAATGGGAAAGCATGAGAATAAATTGACGGTAGGCTTTGATGAGAAATATCTGGAGAAACTGTATGATAATCAACGAAAGGGCAAGTCAGTCGTAAGTTAATTTATTCTGAGTACACATTGTGTCTATATTTTGAGAAATAACTTTGTGCATCATTTCCATCTCATCAGACCATGTGATGTGGTGAAATGTTATTTGATAGTGGATTGTCTTCACTCAAACACTGACAAACAGCATATTGCCGTGCATTCATCTTGGCTACTGATCCAAATCCTCATATCATATCTACGAGATGATTAAGGTCTTTCCGACCATATCTCATTCTGCATGTCCATCCCTTCAAGAAGGCTTAGAAATTCGAGAGCACTGAATATCCTTCATAAAATTGGAGATATCGTATTCACAATATCAGTGAGATAGAACAGATAGGACAATGAAGGATTCCAATAATAACACTAATAATAATAATAGACTGTAGACCACATTGTGTAGGTGGTGGGTGCAATAACAGCGTGTCGAAATGGAGGTGAAGATGAGATGAAATGAGACATATTTGTACAACGATAGGAATACTTCACAAATATAAAGCGTATTATGTTTATGTGTTATCAAAGAAATGATGGTCTATGCAAACCGTAAATTGTACACGATTCGCTGTCGCAGCAGTAATCTCGTTTATCTCCGATTTATGCATCTAGGATTAGGCGCGTTTCACCCTGAATAACACTTCTTGTTAACCTCCTTACAAATGACTTGTATCAATGTGTGGTGGTACATCCTGGATTCTTTCCACTGTTTCTCCACTTCCGTTAATTTCGATGATCACATGCTCACCTCGAAAGCTTCGTCAAAATTTATTTATTATTTTATTTTTTATTTTGATTACAGCTTGATTCCACACCGTATTTTCAGTACAAGTGTGGAATTTTCAGCATGGATATCGGTAGCCCAAATTTCAGGCCGACCATAGATATCGGGTGTGCGCCGGCAGGGGATCGAACCCCGAACCATGTGCATGGTCGGCGAGAGTCCTAACCACTGTGCCACCGACGCACAGTGGCTTTCTGCAAATCACTACACGGTGCATATTGATTCATCGACCTACCAACAGAAATGTTGCATGAATTTGTGATTACCACAATCCGAATACTGAATAAGTATATAGATGAACAGGTAACTTACTGCTTGCGCTGTTGAAATGCCACATCATACCACCCTCACGAGACGTAATATGCTAAATCACTCCGTTAAACAGTACACCACCTAATTTGTAATTGCTGAGAACAAGACACAAATGAAAACGACTCAGTTATCTGCCAATGTGTCCATACGAGTGATATATTTAAATTGAATGGAAGTTGAGGTTATTTTTGGGAGAGGGACATTCGAACTCATCTGACCTCTATGGCTGATCTACAGATACTGAGCATATGTGTGTTATCAGCACAAATGGGTAGTGTGTGAAACGGCGTCCAAGGTTGGATGGATGCTTCGCCATCAAAACAACACTTTTCATCCATCACCTTACACCACGACACGCAGACTGGACATCTATTGAGCTGATGTATAAAGTTGATTCGTTTTTCGTTCTTATAATCTTGACTAAACGTTTATTTTCGTATCGTTGAATGTGCACTACAAATACATGAGAAAGAAAATAATATTTGTCGCTAAGCTTAATTTCAATATATCATAATATTCTTGATTAATTTCAGGTGAAGAAAAAAATTATTATGCATTATGGAGAATATCCGATACTTACAATTAGTAACTACACTTCCTGTTATGCTTGTGAATGTGAACTGTCATATGACAGATCCAATTGGAGAGAGGCTGATATCATCATTTTAACAGATGAAAATTATCCTCGAGGTGAAAGACCACCGAATCAGTTATGGTTTATTTTTATACATGAGCCACCTTATAAAGTGAAACTCTCATATGATTTGGGTGACAGAGTAAGTTATAACTCCTGAACAAGTGATTCCGTATATATATATATATATGAAGCGTTCTCTTAAACATTCATCTGAAACTCCTGAGTCTCATAACTCGAGCAGTCTGTGGTGGGAATATTTCCTCTATTTCTATTCCAGTTATCATCCTACTGACACAAGAAATTTCAATCCAGACACTGATTACATTCTAGGCAGTAGCCAACATGACATATGTGTAATAGTGAATTTTCCCAGCCACGTTTACAATGTGAACATCAGGCTAAGTGACTCACTGTGAATTGCGGTACAATTCGGATTGATGCAACTGCCTTCGAAAAGGCGTGCACATCTTGGCGACGACTGGCAGTTAACACCGATCCTAGTCTGAAAGCTCCGTGCCGATCACATCCAACTACCTTATGGAATTATGTATGATATGTTTTAAAGACAGTGGAAAACTAGAAGTTCCACTCATCCATGGTTTCTCTGAATTCGTGAAACTATGACATATAAATGATTAACACTCCACTTATATGATTCTACTGGTCACTTGATAGAATACTCACCTACAAAGCTTTCTGTTTTATGCACAAATCTTCACTTTGTGTCCACCTGGATGAAATATTAACATAAATACCGCGTGAGTGAGACAAAGAATTATTTACTGATCTTATGAAGTTATAGAATGAGTAGCAGAGATACCTCTTTGAAAGAGGCATTGATTTTCATTCGACTGTTTACTTCAGTTATGGCAATGAAACTTGTATGTCCTCTATGCCTCTCATTCGTAGTACACTTAGCAAGCTTGAACAATCTAAAGATCCGTCATTTACATGCGAAAATGTCCATGTCATCTCGCAATGAGTTGCAAGTAGTGTAAATGTATGACGAGTGAAGGACACACTGAATATTATTTAAGGTCGATATAAATACATGAGACGGCAGAACTCACAATGGAATCTCTTAAAGCATCAAAGGAATTAGATAACCATCAAGAATAGCTTCAGTTTGAAGAGAAGTGACCGGACCAGATGTAATGCAGCTGAAATGTCATGATATCCTAAAGCGAATTGGTTAAGAGATTGTGTTTTTTCTTTCTATCAGATGTCTGTAATGATGCCAGCAACTTCTTGGAGTTTGGATGAAAGCACCTGTATACGTCCTCGCCCTATATTGGAATCCGAATGCGAGACGACAATTTGGACGTTGATCTGAGGGTGACATGGAGGAGATAGTGTGAGGAGGGGATAGTCGTGTAACCAGTCAGACAGGAGTGGAGTGAACATGTGTTGTCTAAGCACTATTTTTCAATCGGAATCCACACGTCAACGTTAGTAGATAAATTTCGTGTTAGTTATCCACTATGGAGTGAACCAGTCAGAGTACATTTTCTCATGAAATACGAATACAAGGATTCGAGGTGAAAGTGAAAAACAGTCTCACCACTTGTTTTTCATTATTACTATGAATATTATAGTCCTTAACTGGACAATATAAAATTAACAAAACACTAATGCTCATCATTCTGATTTCAGGTGAACTACACAATCACTTATCGTCAGGATTCATCAGTCTTCCTGCCGTATCATAATTATAAACCATTTGACCCAAGTCATTCATGGGATACAAGATATCCACTCCCTTCTCGTAATTATGCTATTGGCAAGACTAAAATGGCTGCATGGTTCGTCACCAACTGCAACCCTAACAGTCCAAGAAATGAATATGCGGAGGAGCTATCGAAGCATTTTGAGGTGAGTAGCAACCATTATTTGCAGCAAATGTCAAAATGACTAAGAGAGTGTGGTTCATTGAATATTTCATGGTCTCATTAGGCGTTGACATGACAGTCACATACTGCTTAATAAATACCCTCGATGGGTCACTTCAAGATGACAGAGACACTTCTCTGAGAAGTGTCAGTGGACGCGAAAGTTATGTCAGAGGAATCATACTGACTGTCTCCACTGAAGATGTGGAACTAGTGGCGAAATTCCGCTCCAGAAGACTAATGCAAGCTGCATAATTAAACCGTCCATTTAAGTGAACACCACAGGAATAAGAAGACCAGTGTTTTGAGAAAATCGTCACAAATCAGTCCATCTCTCTTCATATTCAGCTAATAATTGAAATGAAATTTATTGTGGGATTCAAACAAACAGACGATTGAATTCAAAATTAGTGGTACATATAGAAGGTTGAAAGTAAATGATTCGGCGAAGAGTCTCCTTTCAACGAATTTATTCCCAAACTATCCAGTCGTATAAACCTGTATGATTCCTATTAAAAGTATTGATAACGGTAATGAAAAATATTAGATTATACAATTTACAGAATACTAGATGGTTGGAGGCAATCGGCAGGAAGCCTTGGACTTAGGTTTCGTGCTAGTTGGCACTCATCAGCAAGGCGTATCTGCAACCTTGAAGGAACTGATGTCCCTTCTGAGATTCGAACCCGCATCACCCAGTGCTGCAGTCAGAGACGTTGCTACTGAGCTATTCAGGCTCGCGACTGACCTCCTGTAGGACTGTATTGGATATTTTTGATTGAACACTAGTCAGTAACTAGTGTAATATGTCTAGTCCTATCTTCGGTGCAGACTGAATTCTATCAGTCATGTTTGCAATGTGGCCACCATGCTAGGTGGCTCGCCATTACGGTGCACTGTGAATTGTTGGTATTAGATGGTTGGAGGCAATCGGCAGGAAGCCTTGGACCTAGGTTTCGTGCTAGTTGGCACTCATCAGCAAGGCGTACCTGCAACCTTGAAGGCCACCATCTAGTACCAACAACTCACAGTGCACCGTAATGGCGAGCCACCTAGCATGGTGGCCACATTGCAAACATGACTGATAGAATACAGTCTGCACCGAAGATAGGACTAGACACATTAACTAGTTACTGACTAGTGTTCAGTGAAAAAAATTTAAAGAATAGTTTATCCAGTGCATAAATCTCAATGAGGTGGTCTGGAAATGGTGAGATTAGTGAGCAATTGAAACACTGCGAGACCAGGTGAAAATTATGGCAAGTGGAATTTATAAAATCGTCGGTCATACGAAGCTTCAGTGACACAGATGAGTTGAATACATGATGGATTTGTCCAACACAGTAATGGGACATTATCCTGTGTGGTTACGAAGAGATGGAAGAAGCCCTGTCACAAATGCAATTACTGTGAATCTGATCGATGCTGGACATACTATTTCTGCAGCCTCTTCCTTCACAGTTATCCACAGGGAGAACGCTGGCCTGCTGAAACCATCACTTGTAGGACTTATCTGTATCACTGAAGCTTCGATCATCGAAGTAGGAGAACCAGATCTTCGTATACAGAAGCAGCTTATTCAACCACGCCTTCTCTCGTAGTCTTTATCCGTCTATTCTGAAGTCTGTCTGTCCTCATTCATACTCTGGCTGCATCCATATCTCATCAGGTCGGCTGTTATTACGAATTTCACTTTCAATAATTTCCGGCATTATTTTACTTATAACCGTTGTTTACTTACTTCAATATTACTTTCTTTGCAATGTTTGCTTATCAAAATTCTCACCTCGTTGAGTGATGTTTCAATCACCCACTAATCTTCTTATTTCTAGTCCTCCTCATCGAGATCCATGCACTTCATGAACCACTCTGTAAATTGCATAGCCGATTATTTATCGTCAGAATTCACATTATATTAGTAGTAAAAATCACACAGGTTAATAGGATTTTACTTCTTGGAATCGGATTCGTTGGAAATTGACTGTTCTTCGAATCATTGAATTTGATTTAAATTTAAGATGCTTGTGAATACGAGTTGTTTAGCGTCCACGGAGGACATGCAATGCTCTTTTGTCTGTGTTGTACATTTCAGAGTCATTGTTTTGGAATGGAAGTTCTAAACTGTCAGGTTGACAATATTTTCGAGTGGCATTTCAGTAGAATTCAGCTACTCATTTCATCGAATACTGATTAAAACTTAGCGTAATGCCCCACTGATACTTGTTTCAATCAGATTTCCGTTTCTACTGCTACATATTCAAAGAATATACAAGATACCAGATCACACACTGTGTTCATTTCATAAATCCTCATGACTGGAACATTAAGGTAGAAATTCGCGAGTAAGTGTGTCAGATCACATTTGCCACACTTCAAAAAATTAAACAAATTGTTTGGACAGACAACCACTGATAACACGGGTAATACCTAATGCTGGTGCATTTTCTATCCAACTCTCTACCATTCATCATTGCCCCTGGTTCTTTTCGACCGCATTCACTTCACGTTTACAAAGCGTGTGCTCTTCATCATGTTTGAAACCAGCTGAGATCACCTCTACGGCGATCTTCATGCACAATACTGCAAAATCTCACCAACCTCATATTTCTGTTAACTGTCTCTCTTTTGAATCTCTCTTTACTCTCTTCTCTTGCTTTGTGTACTACATGGAGTGTGACAACTCGAACTGCTGCACATCTGTGCAAAGTCCAATGTTGAAACTTTTACTAAATTTAAACGCAGAATATCAGCTGTCTTCAACGCTGTTTCCACATTAGACTGGGTATCGTACAAGATTTTTCCATTACGAGTAATTCTCTGCAGCTCGAACAAATGTTTGGTTAACTCTTCTTTCAGTCAGGATATGAGACTTTCGTAAGAAAATTCAATAAACAAGACCTTCACAGATATATATTTTTTTTTTTGGATTTACAGCTTGATTTCCACACCGTATTTTCAGTACAAGTGTGGAACTTTCAGCATGGATATCGGTTGCCCAAATTCAGGCATACCATAGATATCGGGTGTGCGCCGGCAGGGGTTCGAACCCCGGACCATGTGCATGGTCGGCGAGAGTCCTAACCACTGTGCCACCGACGCACAAAGCGGAGTGCGTCGGCCGGGAAACGAACCCGGACCGCCCGCGTGGCAGGCGAGCATTCTACCATTGAACCACTGATCATTTGATCATGCATACACAGGTATGAAATAACACGTGGTTGGAGTTCACACAGTCACAGAAGAAGAAGAAGGAGAAGAAGCGGCAGTGGCAATCTTCTACTGGTTCTCCCCATCGGTGACTCACTTTGATTTATGTCCAAATTATTCACTATATTTAATCTACAAATTGAGCAGTGAAAGCGACACTCAGAGAAAGATTTCGTTCCCTTCTGCTCATTGTTAAACAAACTGTAGCTTTGACCACTGAAATAAAGCATAGTAAAAATAATTACAAACTATTTCTATCTGTAGGTTGATATCTATGGAAGTTGTGGTACAAAGACATGTCCCAGAACTAACGAACCTGAGTGTTACAAACTTCTCGAGAAAGACTACAAATTCTACTTGAGCTTCGAGAACAGTTTGTGTCCAGATTATATAACAGAGAAGGTTTTCAGAAATGCTTACAGGTAGGTGAAATGAAGGTGATATATACTTGTCCCACACACTGTTCTTAATATTGTCTCTCCCATGTTATGTGAAATGAAATTAGGAATTTCCACAGTATGGCTTATTGGTGAATGGCATAAGTGTTTAGTGAAGTTATGAGGAGTGTGGAAGAGAGATGAGCGGATTATCATGCCTTATTATAGAAGAGCTCAAGTAATCGATTCAGGAGAATACACAGAATGTGCCAGCATTGAACAGTCAGTCTCTTGTACATTCCTCACACGAGGGATATAATATGAGGCTGGAAGCCTGATGAGTAAGTCAGTCATCTCCACAGTTGATTGTTGAGTAGTTAATTAGTAGGCCAACTATCTCTGTTTGAGACCGGGTGACTTCCTTACACTGATCACAATACATTTTGCATGTATATTAGTAAACCATAAGTTCATGGACAACTGCATGATTCTGTTGAGTAACTGCGTCACTTAGATTTTGAATATTCGCTCACCCAATCCCACCGAAGTATACACTAAATGAAATTTCTCAATATGTGATCTGAGAAGAATATTTTCTATAGTTTGGTTTGTAAGGGTTAATTATGTTTTTACGAGTTGATCACGGATTGATATCAGTTAGAGAACCATTGAGAAGCATATATTGACCAGTCTGACTGTAGTGCAGCACCAGATGTCGAGGAAAATGACCATGTGACCTTGTTTTCACCGATGTATTCCAATTAATCCATTTGTCTTTCTTTCACTAGACTGTTGATTACTCCCACTCATCTGATCCGAATAACAATATTGACAATAAACTGCTTTTATGTTGTTTCTTCATCTCTCACAGTCACAATATAGTCCCCATCGTTATGGGTGCATCGATTGAAGAGTACAAACGTGTCTCACCTCCACATTCATTTATCCACGTGGATGAATTTGAATCACCTGCAAAACTTGCTGAATATATGAAGTATTTAGACCGCAACGATACTGCATACAATGAATACTTTGCATGGCGTGAACACGGAGCTAAAGATGACTGGATGCCTCGACCTGAGTGTGTATTGTGTTTATTCGCCCATGTCCGCGAACAACTTGAGCCACACTCAGTGCCAAATGTTTCTCGATGGTGGAATAATGCTTGTTTTGGTCGAAAATTGCGCTGGAATCCTGGCGGTATATGAAGCATCTTCGCCTTCAGTCAGAATTTGTCTTATGTAACTTGTCAGCATATCTATCTTTAAAAATTTTCTTTGCATAACTTTAACCTATTTTTGGCACTTTGTGAAGACTTTAGTAATTTGTGTAAATACAGGGGAGTAAAGTATAATATTTAAATATCAGTAATTGTTATTCCTATTCTTATTAGGTTTTACAGTGAATGAATATTTTCAGATTTTGCTTTGTAGGGATTTGACTGGTTTCATATCAGGCAAATGCCTGACATCAGTTAGGGAACCACTGAAATTCATGTTTCATCCTAGTTTGAGAAATTAGCTGACAGTCGCGCTAAATATTTTGTGAACTGATTGGCCGTTGGACTCCTTCCTAGTGGGTGGATAATCTACGCACTCCGCTCGTGTCCTTGAGGTTACGGATCTGATCTCTGGTAGTAGAATCTGTGCGCAGCAATAGGGAGACTCCTAGTGAGACGAGATGGCTGTTCTGTACTTCCTACTTTCCAGTGTTTGTCGACTGAGACACGTTCTTTCCTTTCAAGACAAATACCATGTGATATCATTTCATCTTCGAAGCTTTGTGCATTTCTGCGACGTATACAAGAGAAATTAATAGACAGTACTTCTACAGGTGAATGCTAGTGGAAAAGATATTTTCAGTGATTAATCACAGGTCGTACGAGATGACAGATGTATATTTACTCCCTCACTCTATGCCCGTTTTCGCTTTACACTGCACTCAATTAGCCAACGAAGAAGTTGAACATCTGTTTAGCTGCATTATTCCACACTTTTATCCGTTTTCACGATATTATTAACCACTCTTATATTTCAAATATCCTCCTTTAGGAAGAAGGCAGAGTTTCAGTAAAGTGAGTTATTTGTGGTCATACGAGTCTTCTTTGAATATGTCATATCTCGCAAATGATGAACCAAACGATACTTGCGAAAGAACTTCATTGAGGACTGTTCCCTGCGACGAAGGAAATCAGAAACCACTAGATGTAATCCGCCTCTCATATATCAAGAATATCTTGGAGATATTAACCAAATCACTTTGCTACTTTCCAGATGGTAATATCGAATACATCTGAGGGAAATATCTCACGGTGGCCGGAAGATTCAACCAAGCAACACAGAATGTTGTCTGACCGAGTGATCAGTTCCAACATAGGAGTTTGCACAGAAGTGCGCCAGTTCAAATTGTCACACTCCATGCAGCACACAAAGGAAGACAAGAGAGAGGGTGAAGCAGATTCACGGGGAACAGTAATAAACAGAAATGTGAGGGAGAAAGAATGGCGACATGACAAAACAACAGGATCTAATGGATATGAAACATCATAAATAGTGAATGCATTTGTGCTGGTGAGAACGATTTTGAGCCATGTTACCAAATGTCTCTAGCTGCTGGTTTAGTTCTTGGAATCCCGAGTATTTCTGTCAAGAAGCCTTCACCTCCCCACGTGGCTGACTCAAACTAGCTATCACAGATTTCATGGAGTTATGTTATGTTTCGCTTGCCTACCAATAACTCCTTACCAAACTAATTTTATGTCAGGTGGTATTGACAGTCGAGGGAGCTAATGTCTGATAGTGCGTATCACATATACCAGGCTTCTCACTTGACGATGTTTCACAACCCCATCTATTAACATACTATATTGCCTACTTAGAAATTATAAAAACGACGGTTGTAATAATGAAAATTTTCTTCTCGACGAAGTCATCATCTAGGCTGTACATCCGTGTATTTATTGTAAATGTGTGAGAAAATTCCAGAATCAACTCCGGACAAAGTTTGAATTAATAAAATTACAGAGTGTAATAAACAGGAAGATCGGATATAGAACATAGCAAGACAGATAAGTAGTAGGAGTAGTAGTACTATTCTAGAAATATTTCAGTCCGAAGATCAAACTAATAGAATTACAAGGTGTGATATTCGGAAAGATCGGGAAGATAAGACATAATAAGATGATAATCACTGAGAAACTTGACCGTTTGTGTAATCATGGATTGAAGACGTAGTATTAACAAGATAGGTAGAATTTTCGGATGTATATAATACAGATCTTGTAGTGCAGATAGCAATGAGATTGGCTCCATCACATCTTGTGTATGACTTTGAAGAACTTTCCAAATGGAGCCAAGTGTCCTGAATTCATCAGATATTCTGCTATCGAACTTTATACACCAGCACGTGAAATCAAAGTTGTAGCATTGGGCCACTTCAGAACTCATTTGCCAGTTCACTAGCTCATGTTGAGCCAGGGACATTGGCGCACCATGCGTCCGCTTTGAAAAAGCACTCGAGAACACTTTCCAGGATGGTTAGCAAATGGAGAACGTAAGGACATACACAGTTTGGTAACAGAATTTCTACCTATCTTGTTAATACTACGTCTTCAATCCGTGATTGCACAAACAGTCAAGTTTCTCAGTGATTATTATCTTATTATGTCTTATCTTCCCGATCTTTCCGAATATCACACCTTGTAATTCTATTAGTTTGATCTTCGGACTGAAATATTTCTAGAATAGTACTACTACTCCTACTACTTATCTGTCTTGCTATGTTCTATATCCGATCTTCCTGTTTATTACACTTTGTAATTTTATTAATTCAAACTTTGGCCGGAGTTGATTCTGGAATTTTCTCACACATTTACTATGAATATACTGATATACAGTCTAGATGATGACTTCGTTGAGAAGAAAATTTTCTTCGTTTCAACCATCTCTTCAGAGATTACTTGGATATTTCCGTCTTACAGCAATATAACTAACCGTCTTATACCTGCACACATGGGAGATAGAAGACCGACACTTAAGAAGATGATAGACAGCTAGTCACCCAGGCTTTTTCTATCTTTCACTTTCTTTGACCTTGTCTCATGAAGAAGTGACCTGCTGAGCAGTACAGCCACCCTTCGATCGATGATCAGTCATATATCACGGCTACTCCAAAGATGATGTAAGTTGGTTAATGCTACATGAGCTATTTGTATCCAGAGAAAGAAGGCCGTCTGAAAAGTCTTTTCCATGAACTGCAAACAACGCTAAATGGAGCAAGTAGGCCAATTTGTATTACGACTTGATGAACCACGGAGAACTGTCATAGTCATGATATGAAATCATCTGTAGATCATAAAAGATACGTCCTCAAGCGACTTTATGATTAGACTTATTATTATTATTATCGGAATTAATTTGTGTATGGGCGAAAACAGGCGTTTTATTGGTTACTTCTCGATAGTAATAATAGTGACAACTTTATTCTGAAAGAAATTCTGTAACGCATAGTGCAGAATTCTCAGCATATTTTATTGCAAAGTATTTACTGTAGATGTAGAATCTTCAAATAAATTAATAATCGGTGCTGTATCATGTGAAGCGATATTGTTCTCTCCAAATCACTCTCTAATCCCTTGTTATGCTTCTCCTTTGTTTTCTTTGGAAAATCCATAAATGTAGGTTGAATCTTATTCAAATATATACGTGAGATTACAATTCAGGAATGCAACTGGATCATTTGAGTCAACACAAAATAGAGTCAATGTGAAATGAACTAGTTAGGTGAGTGGTTTTAGCAGGCCTAGTGTTGAGTCTTTGCAATAAAATAGGCCAGTTGTCAAGGAACTTAGCCCTAAATTCCTATTGTAATGAAGACGTGGTCGACTGAACCGATAAATACTATATAGGTCCTTCAACTTTAAATCCAAAACACCAGTATTCCTTGAACGAAATTATATTGTTTGGCAATTAAAGTGAAGAAAACTACAAAGTCTGCAGACAAATGTTAAGTACAAATGAAGTTATAAGGTACTTTTATTCGTGTTCTTTCCACCTTCTTAGAACTTGCAAGCGATCGTTCCATTCGCGCCTTTCAGTTGCCCGCCAATGGTTGCCAGTTCCAATAAAACAAACGTTCAATGTTTACGTCCATTGACACTAGTGTTTAACTTCAACAGCTTCAAACCACCATTTACTATGAAAGTCACTACAACGACAACAAGTGATTTAGTTTACTGAATTCACTCGGAACCCACCAAACCAAATAAACACATTCTTGACAAGATTTCAATTAATATTTGAACCAAACTGCAGATTTAACACAATACTCGTAAATTCTACACGTGAATTTTGGTTGTTTTGTAAAGTAGACACTGAGATGATTCTTTAACTCTGACTGACTGAGCGTTTCCAGATGAAAAAGAATGTTTGCACTTTTGTTTATTATTAACTTGACCATTCTATATTGATTTTCTTAGAAAATAACTGATACATATACATATATATACATAAAAGAGTTCTATTTTCTGAGGTTGAATTGATGCTTTTTTAGCTTGTTATGATACTTGTCGACCTAACAGAACAGTAGAGAGAACATTTCCTGTAGTCAAACTGCTACTCAGCTTCTCAAATAAAACAGTACTCACACAAACAGTCAAGGATGACCTACCAAAAATGGCCTCATCAATGCGTATCTATGAATTCAATTGCTCATGTGGAGCTAGTTGCATTGGCCGTACTCAAGGGACTTTATCCATGCTCACACGTTAACATGTTTCTCTCCCCCAGACGGGCATTACTGGCTGATATAGGTGCAGGTTGGAAAAGAGTAAGTGGTGGCCAAACAAAAACATGGCCTCATCAATCCATGAAATCCCTGACAGTTAAACTGAGTCAGGTAGGGAGATGCAGACTTCCGGGTTGGGGCCCTCGGGACTCAAAGAATCAATGGCTGGAGACATTAGGTGACATGGCTCAAAATCGTTGTCAATGGCTTACGCAGATGTATTCAGTCTCTTTAATCTTTCATATTCCTTTCTACCATTACTCATTCTGCTTCACTCTTATACTTGTCTAAATTCTATTGATTCTCTTCACTCATTTTCCTGTCTACCTTTGTGTGCTATTTGAAACGTGGCAACTTGAACTGCTACACTTCGGTGCCAAAATCTATGTTGAATCCAGCAGCCGTAGCATGGTTGAGTTAAGGG